AACACCACTGCACTAAATAGTGATTGAAATGGTTAGTAATGGTAAAATTAACCCAGGAACATCACTGCTGTTCCTGAGAAATGAACATAACAGGTGGGTTAAGCTAAACACAATTAACTATACTTAGCTTTGCATGTTCACTTTGGAGTGCACAATAGAATATAGTGTGTTTCTGAACAGTGCCAAGTAACATGGCACTTAGACTGCACTTTGCAGCAGTGTCTTTTGCCCGTAGGGAGTTTCCTGGGACATTCTTTGAATGGTAACTAAAAGAAAAGGAGGATAGTCATAGACGGTAGCTGTCTGTGCCAAGCCTGCTATCTCAAGTTAAATGACATATAGTACTGTAGAACAGGAGCACAAGCTTATAAATATACTTTTGTTTTCCTAAGGCACATTCCTTGTTCTTGTTTGCACATTCTTTTTCTTTTTTGCTCTCCCAGCTTTATCTTGCTCACTTGTCTACTCATTGTTTTACAGAAGAGCATTGTACATACACTTTGAGAGCCATTGTACCAGAGTCAAATTCCTCGTGTGTCCAACACACCTGGCCAGTAAAGCTGATTCTGATTGAGATTGCTAATGTTGGTGCAGTTTTAAATGCCTGCCACTAGATGTTATTAAAGGGCCATATTTCACTGATTATGCCTTTAACTGCTTGAGTTTGGTATAAACAATAGCTATCATCCTTTGCTGACTTTCAAGTATTAACTTGCATTGTCATTAATGTAAGCAATAGCACCACCTGATCCTAGGAAAGAGATAATAGTGGAATCTTTGTTGTGTCCTGTGGAGTGCAGATTGAATCCCAGCTGACTGTAGTGATCTTGCCGACAGTTCCAACAAAGCATGAGGCCACTGATGACAAAGCCTACATTCATAATGTAAAAACACTCTTCACAACCATTTATTCAGTGTCTTAAACATTGAATCAATTTAATAATGATCAACGTAAATGGTTTTTCACAAGCATACACCACAACTGAGAAATGTGCAAACAGTTTTGTCATATGTTTCTAGAAATACTGCAGGTACAACTTTGAAGAATTCTGAGTATACTGGAAAACTACCTAACCCACTACTGCAAATTAAATCACAAATGAGACACGAACTATGCTTCACAGTGTTGCATAAACAAAACTGTTATCAGGTAATTAAGTTCTACATTTTGCAAAATTCACCTCACTGCATCAGCATTTGGTGTTTTGTATTTCCTTGCACATAAAACTCAGTATCTCTTATTGCACTTATTATAAAACTTCCACCACCCAATTTTCCTTCACTGGGCGCCAAATCGCGTCAAAGCATAGCACCTTGTTATACAAATCAATAATGTGTGGATCTTTGCTGAACTAAAGTTGTAAAAGGTAATCATGGTAACACATCGAGAGTAGAGTTGTGTAAGCATAAATATTGTGAAGTCTAATCTGAAAATCTCTAGCAAATGGAATGGGCAAACACGCCACCATGGTTCTGACATGGCTGTTAAGCCACCGCCGTCTGCATAACGAAATAACAGACAGAGCGAGGAGAGAAGAATGAGAGAACACAGTGCTCAGGGTTAGCTTCAGCGTCTCTCTCCCTATATCATTCTCTTTGCTCCTTTCTCAATACTCTACTTGGTTTCCATAGAAACACGCTTGCCACGCTTGAGTCGTGAGGCCAGTCAGCTGAGATAAACAGTCCTGCAATCTCAACTGAATATGATGGGTATGCATCAGAGTTTGTTGAAGTAGACATCAGCCAAAGGTCATGGGTGCCAGGAAGGTGGCACTGAGACAGCAGATGTGACAACTTTAACTGTTTATCTGGTGCAGATTTTGATCTTCTATTTCACCAACATTTCAACCTTGAATTCAGTTTGAGCCTGTTTAGTCGACAAAACTGGGGACATACGGTAGGTAAGCTAACTGCAGTCATAACCTAAGGGATTTTGTTTTCTGTCACTAAAGGGGAAACAAGATACCCAGAGAATCTATGGATACTTAGAGCAGTTTTATGCCTTGATTTATCACTATCATCATAGGAATGTAACTAAGACTCTACTTATTTGTCAAGATTGTCTGATGTAAAATATGAAACACTGCCCTGAATCTACAAAATGAGTGCAAAAGCCACTGGCTTACTATAAGATGCAGACCAGAACTGCCCTTAAGGATCCAAGTCAAGAGAAGTTGTGTGCATCAGTCTGCATACAGTAGATCAAGCTAAGATCAAGCTAAATCACGCAAGTGAGGGGGAGCTTTAAGTGGAGGAAACACATTATCAGATGGAGCACCAGCAGTCTCCATGGGAAAAGCATAAAAATGAATCAATCCGAAAAATGCACAAATGTCTTGAATAGTGAAGCATCTGAATTTTGATTCATTACTGGAGCAACCAGTGTCACAGCCTCAAATGCTTGAGTAGAGGCATGATGACAACCCTGCTTGTTTTCACACTAATATACAACCCCTCAAGACAGATCAAAAAATTAAAGTCCATAGGAGCATCTTGAGAATGTAGGAGCAGTTATAATTGTTTGGCTGTCAGACAAGGAAGTCCCGTGCATCAAAGGGGCTTTGTGCAGGAGAGAGACATTAGGAAAGAATTATTTATGACTAGACAGCTGGATGAGGCTGTTAAAAAATACAAGTACGCAGGCCAGCATCTGTGGGTCCCGTTAAACAATCAGAACTGGCCTGAAATTTAACATTTTGTGATGACATAAAAATGAGGCTTGTAAAACATGAGTATATTTTAGGACCCAACTGATTTCAAACCAAAATGATCATTCAACAAACGCTTAAAACAAATCACTGATAAGAAAACAGATCACTGATGAGCAATCTCAAATGAAACTAACTCAACTGAAATGGATTTGTTTTTGATATTCATAGTCCACGTTCAAGCTCTGGTTCCCTTTGCTGTAGGCTAATGCATCTCCTCTGAGCCAGTGCTCCGCTTGAGGCCATTAACTGGATAAGATGTGCAAAGGTAAAGCTCAAACAAACATTTCTGAGCCAGAGCTAATGGAGTCAGGAAACTGCTCCCTCTTCTTTTCTTGTTTTTCCCTTCCAATCTATTAATTTTGATTACATCCGGCTAATAAAGACAGTTTCTGGAAATTAGTAGACCAGAACCTAACAAATTGAGTCTAAATAAGATTATTGGAGTAGGATTTTCTCAGTTAAGTGCTTTTGAGGACAAGGCTACAACTTTGCTGTGTGAATATAAAAAAAAATGTTTTGTGGCTGCATCTGTTCATTTCAGATGATGTAGTTCTGCAGTAAGGATGTATTTTGCTGATGGTATACCTTATAGCCTATTGTACTGTATGTTGAAGCACAGGCATTAGCTCATCAAACATAACTACACATTCTCCACGTGGTAACAGATTTGTTGTTAAGCTTCATGCCAAGACAGGCCACTGCGCTATTGCTTAACACCACAGCACAGATAATGAGAAAATATTAATGAGTCTCAGCACCACAGTCTCTTAGAGCTAATAGGCCTCAACTGACAGAGAAAAAAGACAGAGACAGAGAGGACGAGTTAATGAGATGAAGTGTACACGTGTGCACACATGTGTCTGACTGTGCTAGCTACTGTGTGTGAGAAAAACAAGGACAAAAAAAAAGCAAGTGAGGAGTGAGGAGGGGAAGAGTGTTAATTGAGTATAATCACACCTCCAACATATTCCTTCATGTGAAACAGACAGAATCAAGCTCCTTTCTGCCCACGAGCTGAACATCAGGGCCTTCTCAGTCTGGCATTCACAGCTTTATTCACAAACTGCTGCTATCACCCAGTGCATCTTTTATTCTTTTGAAAGCTTTAAATACAGACATATTTTAGATACTCTCTCCGCCCCCCCCCCTTCCCTCTCTACATATGTACCGGCACACAAACGATC